GCCTGCAGACAGAGCCCTCTGTGGTAAGAGATTGATACAGTCAGCAGTGGTTCAGGGAAATCAGTGTGGTGAAATGAGGCAAGGTCTTAGATTTGCTTCCTGGTCACTAATGTCTGTCACTTGGAGGAAGTCACCCCTGTGTATATTTTTTAGAAGATGGGAACAAGGGTCTTTCTCTAGCAAGTCTTAATGTGTGTGTGTATGCGTGTGCATGCAACTTGCTTGTGCACACACTGGTCCTGGGGCTTGAATTCAGCCGTTGGGCACTGTCCCTGAGCTTTTGTGTTCAGAGCTACCACTTTATCATTTGAGTCACATTCTACGTCTGGCATTTTTAGTGCTTAATGGGAGACTAGAGTGTCACAGACTTTCCTCAACTCTGATGTTCTAATCTCAGCCTCCTTCATAGCTAAGATTATAAGGCATAAGCCACAGGCCCTCAGTTTGTTAAGCTTTTTAAAATGATTTATACTCTACAATGTGAATTGAATAAAACATATTTATTAGATGTGATTACATGTGCTGAGGTACACACACACACACACACACACACACACACACACACCCTATTTCTGGCAGCCATCTTGGAAAATGAATCAGGTATTTGGGTCTATTCTAGACTAGTAAAAGCCAAAGCTCTGAGAGTATAGGCCTTAACTCGGAATCATATGCATAGTTGATTCTCACTTAATGGTGAGAGCAGAACTGGACCAGTCAGTGGCCTAACTCGGAATCATATGCATAGTTGATTCTCACTTAATGGTGAGAGCAGAACTGGACCAGTCAGTGGCCTACCACCCCAATGAGCTACAAGAGAGAGAGGCCCTTGCAGGGCTTAAGACGGAGTCTCCAGCTGATATGTCAAGCATTATTTGAGTACAGTTACCTTCCAGATTTCTCCCAGCATGTTCTAGAATATCATCATTCTTTATGAATAACATTACTTGAGAAAGATTGGAATGCTCCAGATTAGACATGGATACTTGGCGACCTAGGTGCCCAGAAGAGAAAATAAAGAGCTCCACAAGCCATACTTGCCATTGAAGAAAACACTTAATCACAGATAGTGAGTTTATTCATCTTATTTATTTTACAGTTCTACCATGTTTGCATCTAGGAGTTTGGTGCATGCATTCATAGATAAGCACTTTTCTTTACTAACCAGTGATCTTTAGTGGTCAATAGTTATCGTACACTCCCTCTCACAAATCCAGGCTTGTGAAATGCTCTTCACAAATGGCTGGTGGGTGATTTGCCTAAGCTAAGCTTCATAGTGGGTCCCCACTGCCTGCTTGCATGGAAAGAGTGAAAAGAAACCTAGTAGATTTTGGGAGAAAGAAATAGAGAGCAGATTGAAGATACCCAAGGGATGGATGCCATTGAGGTCTGTGATCAAGTTTTTGTATTTCTGACTTCCACAATAAGTAATCATAGCAATAATTATGAATATTTGTAGCCTATGGAGAGGGGTCTCATTGTCCCCCTCTGAAATATGCATCAGGCCTGTCAGTCATCTTTGGGCTTTGTTTAGAGTCTCAGTCATTGGACTAGAAAGAGATTACTTAACTGTCATTTAAGAGGGTGCCATTTGCAATGGTGTTAATTCCACTTGGATCAGCTCACCCCTGTTGTGTGCATGAGCCTTGGACACTTTGGATAAGCTTTTTTCCCCTTGGCTGAGAGTTGATGCTGAAGGAAGTGGTGATCATACCCAGTGGTCCTGGCTAACTGTTCTCAGGCCAATGGGAGTTCACATCTGCCTTAGTTAAGATAGACACTGGCCTCTTTCCAAAAACCAGGTAGATAAAGAACATCAGAAAGGCAGTGAGCTATGAGTGGGAACTCTTGGAGGTTACCAAGATTGTTCCATTGTGAAGTTCCTGTAGGAACTCCAAAGGACGGTGGTTTCTGGTACTGGTCTGTGACTTGCTGCTGGGCTGGCTGCTGGCTACTTAAGAGCCATGAATGGATCTTACAAAATACAGATTTGATGGAAGAGAGTAGGAGCTGAGAATGGATATTTTTCTAAAGTCCATACTAGTTTGGAAACACAGACACATAGACAGAATGGTTTCCTGTAATTTTTCAGTACAGTTAAAACACATAATATTTGTCTGAAATTGGCTTCTCTTGTTCAACATGATGATCTCCAATTTCATTCATTTTCCTGTAGACAACATAATTTCATTCTTTTTATAATGGTTCGTTGTCATGTAGCCTTTATTTGTTCATTAGTGTTTTACTGATTTCATTGCTTGGCTATAGTGATTGTTATAGAGAGATGTTAAAAGGGAAGAGGGAAAAGAGAAAGTAATGAGAAGTGAAAATAATCAGAGTACATTATAGCTGCATGAAAATAGCATACTGAAAACCACTAATACTATTTGTAAGAGGGGAAAAAGAGAGGACAAAGAAAGACAAGAGGTGATTTTTTTATTTTCATTTTTAAAATTTCTTTTGGTTGCACAAGTATGTTGCCAAATAACATGTCCACTTATGTATCCAATGCTTTTTGATCAGATTCATCGAAGAGGTGAATATGACCAAAGTATATTTTATGTTAGCATGGAAATGTTATATTGAAATCTCTTTGTATAATTTATACTAATAAAAAATCACCCAAAGCAGAACAAGACTTTAAATAATAGTAGATGCTTTCTTTTTTTTCCTGCACTATACGAGGGCTTGAACTCAGGACCATTTGCTTGCTTAGCTTGCTTAGCTTTTCAGCTGGTGCTCTACCACTTGAACCACACTTCTGGTCCCATTTTTTGCTACTTATTCTGGAGAAAAAAAAATCAAAGGGCTTTTCTATCTCAGCTTGTCTTGAACTTTAATCCTCAGATCTTCTTCTCCTGAGTTGCTAGGATTTTAAGTATGAACCATAGGTGTATCTTGTCTATTTCCATTCTTAAAAATCAAATTTTAGCCAGGCTTTAGTGACTTATGCTTGAAATCCTAGCTATTTTGGAGTCAGAGAAGAGTAGGAACACAATTGGATGCCAGCCTGACAAGAATAATTCCCAAGAGCCCTGTATTTTTTTTTTTTAAGAAATCCTCTCCCTTGACAATATGGCATGATGAAATTCTTATTATCATGCAATCCTTTGAAAGCAGCAAAAGCTAAGGGGTAATTTCCTTTATCCCACATGGGCCCTGCCTCCACCACCACCATTTTCTGACTCTGTTCACATCCATTTATTTCTGATGAAGAAGTCTGCTGTGCATGGGGCTTCCTTCTTCATAAAAGTATGCCTCTTGGAAAGCTATATTCTTAAACAGCAGTCAGGGAAGGTATGTGAAAGGCATGGTGGTGTTGACTGGTTCTGACTATGAAGTCTTCTGATCCCTTGAACACGGCAGTCAAACCACAATAGTGCCATCCAGAGCGGCCTTTTCTACACAGACTGTCACCGCTCTAATTATCATTCTTCACTGGGTCTCAGTGTATTTTCATCCAAACCGAAGTATTACCAAGCACAGCATCAGCAGCCTCCCTGCCTCCGCAGCCTCGACTCATGCTCCTTTCCTTGTTGAACCCCAAACTCCTCCACATTGGCCTCTCTCAGTTTTCAAAGAAGCAAAATGTGTTCCTACCTCAGGGCTCTGCAGCTGCCATTTCTTCTGGGTGCACTTGTACACCTCCACCCCCACAGAAATGGCTTTGCCCTGAAAAGATCCTTTGTGGCTCCTGTATGACAATCATCTTCTCTTTCTCCTATACTCTGACACACAGAACAAGTTTACATGGTTTGGTTTTGTTTCCTCCCTCTTCCTCTCACTCCTTCCCTTCCCTTCCCTTCCCTTGCCTTCCCTTGCCTTCCCTTGCCTTGCCTTGCCTTGCCTTCCCTTCACTTGCCTTCCCTTCCCTTCCCTTCCCTTGCCTTTCTGCTCCTTCCTTGTAAATAATGAATCATTGGTTGTTGCATTAGTGGATGGATGGAGACCATAATGTGCCTAGTTTTGCTACCCACTGTAGCTGGATGACAGTGAATCCAAGTATTCTCACTGAGATGGAGTTTTAAGCATTTTTCTGCCCAAGTTGGCCTCCAATGCTATATTCCTAATTCAGATATTCTATGTAGCTAGAACATACCACCTAGCAGAAGGAATGTGTGAGAAAGGGTCTTGTGAACTTTTTTTGCTCAGGCTGGTTCAAACCTTGGTTTTTCTAATCTCAGCCTTTGACAAAGGTAGGATTATGAGCTACTGTGCCTAGCCAATCTGCCTCTTTATTCGTGCAGTAGCTCCACTGATCTAGGATCTTGGAAATCTTTTTCTTTCCCCAAACTCTACAAGACTTCATCTTTCAAGGCATTAATGGATTCCCTAGTCCAAGCCCCATTCATTTAATGAAATCTGTGATCTTTAGAGCAGACACTGATTTGTTCCTCTTGTGGCATATACAACATACATATTTTTTGTTAACAACCTTCAGGTAGATTTTCATTGTTTCCAGTTAAATCCATTGTCAAAATTTCATCTGTTAAAATTTCTTGAAAAGCTCTTTTTTCTCTTAATGAAAGTAATGAAGAAATGCATTTAGCAAATGTGAGAAGTATTGAGTATAGTAGTAATACATTAACTTGAAGAATTTCTCACCCTGATTTAAATTCTATAGTTTGTCTTTTTTTCCATCTGGTGATTTGCTTACACCTTTTGCAACATTGTGTAATATATACTACATATATGTTTTACATGTTACATATATATCCTAAATGTATTAACCTAATATGAGCTAAACATATTATTCTTATAAAAGCCTGTGCCTATGATAGATTGCAGAAGTAAGAAGTGAAACAGTGTACCTATTTGAATTAAGGACAAAGATATCTGCATTTTTAACAAAGGCAACTGGTTCCTATGCCAAGTGCATGAAGCACGTAGTTGTCTTTATTAATGTGTCTGTGCTAGATATGAACAGCAGAAAGCTTGGCTGCACCTTGGCCGGTCATTCTTCTCTATGCGTGACCGTAATTCCTGTTTTCTTTCTTTTCCAGAGTGACCGTCTCCTCATCAAGGGAGGCAGAATTGTCAACGATGACCAGTCCTTTTATGCTGATATTTACATGGAGGATGGCTTGATAAAGTATGTATTTGGAACCTTTCTCTTTCCTGTTTTTACTTCTTCTACATTAGGGATCTAGAGAGAAGCCTGGATTGTGTGAAAGAAGTGGAAAGCCTGAACTCAGTCAAGAGAATGATGCTGAGGCCCCTTTGTGCCAGTGTATTGATGGCCTTTCCATGGGGCTGGACAATGAATGACATATCCACTGACCTTAAGGATATTGACAAACATACACAAATTACAGTACCATAAAAACAACAAGACATGTGTCAAAGGTATCAAAAGAGTTGAAAACAGGATATATGATTTCAAAATAGAAAGAAAGCCATTTACAAGTAAGGCTTAGACTAGAAAAGGTATTTAAAATGGACCTTGGAAAAAGGGTAAGGACTAGAAGGACAGGGCAAGATCAGACATGCATGGTTTCCAAACGGATCCACCAGGGATGCATGATTTCTTTATGAAATGGTTTGCCTCTAAGAGGCACTGATGGTTACTTACATAGTGAATCTCAAGAGAGGATTTGTTTCACAGAGTTTCTAAAATCATGTATAACAAGTTGCACCATCACATAGATAAAATGGCTTGGGATCTGGGGTATCTAATGCATTCTCTTAACCCTCTTGGAAGTCATGGTTTGATTTTAATATTGTTCAGCTTCATTGGCTATTTTGAGATTCTAGCTATAAAAATTCTTTTTGCTTATATTGGAAAACATGGCTAACATATAATTTTCTATAGGCATATGTTCTTTATAGGGTCCCAAGTATCCCCATTCATGTTCTCAGGCTATTGTGTATAGCCATTCTGATACAGCTAGCCCCCTTTGAGAGCAAGGACCATATCTTCTGCCTCTCTATATCCCTAGCACATAACGCACATGGATTTGATAAGAGCTATCTTTCACTGAGTGCATGCCAGACATTGTATTAAACATTTCCATGCTTTATCTCAATTAATCTCCCAGCAACCTTGTGAAATATGTACTACTCTTACTCTCTTTTCTCAGATGAGGTGGAGGAGACACACAAAGAATAGAGAAATTAGTAATGGTGAGCATATTAATAAGACATGTGAAATGAAGAATGAGTGAATGAGCAAATTGAAGAGCACAGATATTCCTTCATAGCTTTCTTGCCAATTTACATCATTAATTTTCCATATCAATAGTAGGAGAAATAAAAATAATAAGTAAGTCAAACCATATAATACAATAATTTATTCAAGCCACAATCGTATGTATACTTTTCTATTGCTGAAAGTGCTTATATCTCATTGGAAATATAAGTTCCTTCACTCAGGGACTTGAATAATAGATTTTTTTAAAGTACCTATTACTTCCTTTTAGTTCCTGAGCTCATGACAGTCACCACTGTTGAGCACAGAACTGGTGTTATCATCAATGCAGGAGCCATCTCACACAGAGCTCCAGCCAGGCAGCCACTCACAGTGGAGTATATGAGATGAATCTTTTTGCCATGCTTATTAGAAGGACTGGAAGTATGTGTACCAAGAATGTTATAGACAACAATTTCCATCCATTTTCTCTACTGATGGTGCGGAGAAACTTGGGTAAACATGATTGTCACCAAATCCTCATGTTTTATGTATGTTCCCAACTCACAGAGCATTAAAACAGAAACACCTCCTCCAATTATTCCACAAGTTGGCTTGTCTGTGCACACTTACAAAGTGCTTTCTATGTTGAAGGAGCTCTCGAAGGCAGCAGGCACTGCCTAAGTCATCTTGCTTTCTGAGGGAACTTCCAGTCTCTTAGAAGAATGAAGGTGTCTGTTTATGTACAAAGGGCCTGATGTTATCCAAGCATAGCGATAGGTTAAATTCAGAGGAGGGAGAGGACTGGTTATTAATTATTGTAACAGTTATTGTTTATTAAATACTAGTGTGCCTAGCAATATTCTGTGGGTTTAACATAGGTTACATGTGATCTACACAAGTCTATAGAGGAGCACTTATTACATTTCACAGATGAAAGCATTGAGAGCTGTTGAGGTGAGGTAAGTGGGTATAGTCATATGGGAAGTGATAGCAGAGCCAAAGTTGTTCATCTAGGTAGCTTAAATGCCTAGAACTACTGCACTCTTCAGTACTAGACGTGGCTACCAGCAGCAGGGTGATGAAGGGAGGAGATGGAATGTGATTCTTCAAGGCTGAAGGGTTGAGGTGGCCTCGATGGGTGTGGAGAAGAAAAGGGAAAAGCATTTCTTTTTCAGACTTGGTGCTTAGGCCAGTTTTCAGAATAAAGGAAGCATGTATTCTGCCAGGCATTTCTCCATGGCATTGGTTCTCTTAGAGGAAAAACAGCAAAAGTTAAAAAAAAATTTCTGAACAGAGCTGGCCAGTATCTGGAGAGTTGGCCAGATTAGAGTTCCGATCAGCAGCTAGATTTTTTCCACAGCATGTTTTGAATAGTGGTATCCTGGAATGGTTCTGTGGTGATGTGGTGAAGTTGAACTCTTTGAGATGTCAGTTTCGTTTCCGAACTTAAGAGTTCAGGAGGCCTGTGGTAGACTTTTTACTTCTCCAAGAGAAATCGTTCTGGCTGACTGCATACAGGAGGAGAAAATACCTATACCACTGGCAGTAGGAGATATGTAGAAGTGCATATGAAATCCATGAAGACAGGATGATGAGCTATTTAAAGTAGAGAGATGAAATCACCTAAAAACAAAGGGGCATTGGGTGAGCTGTAAGTAACATCACTCAGGGGAAATTGAATATTTCTTTGGGAGGTCTGCCTTTGAGATATTTGTTGGCTGGCTCCTCTCCTAAGCTGCACCTAACTTCCTTGAAGGGCTCAGAAACTTCCAGACAGTGTCTTGAGGAGTTTGTTATCATCACCACCCTTTACTTGAAGCTTCTCCTGAGATGCTGACCACATGAGAAACAGATCCAAAGGCATCTTCACCTTTGCTTTCTCCATGCAAATCTGCTGTGAGACATGGCTGACTGATAAACTTGGGGGAGGGGGGAGCTGGGAGTGAAGACTGAAGTGGAAATTGTCCCAGAGTGCTTTTGTTAGGAGAGTGAATGATCTGCTTTAATGATGATGATGATTATTATTATTATTATTTGTGTGTGTGTGTGTGTGTGTGTGTGTGTATGTGCTGGTCCTAGGGCTTGAACTCAGGGCCTGGGTGCCATTCTTATGTTTTGTTTTTTTTCTTAAGGCTAGCACCTTACCACTTGAGCCACAGCTCCACTTCCAGCTGTTTTGGGTGGTTAACTAGAAATAAGAGTCTCACAGACTTTCCTACCCAGGCTGGCTTCAAGCTACAATCCTCAGATCTCAGCTTCCTGAGTAGCTTGGATTACAGGTGTAAGCCACTGGTGCCTAGAAATTAAAAACATAATTAAACACACACACTATATTGTAGACATCTTCAAACCACAGGTTATACCAGGAAGCCAGGACCCACATCCCGTATAAGAGCATTTGCATCAAAACAAAATCCATACATGTACCTATTTTGTTGGTGGTAGTTTTAGGGCTTGAACTCAGGGCCTGGGCATTATCCCTGAGCATTTTGGAGCCTCTTTGTGCTCAAGGCTAGTGCTCTACCCCTGGAGCCACAACTCCACTTCTGATTTTTGAATGGCTAATTGGAGATAAGAGTTTCATTAAGACTTTTCTGCCTGGGCTAGCTTTGAACCACGATGCTCAGATCTCAGCCTCCTGAGTAGCTAGGATTATAGGCGTGAGCCACCAGCGCCCAGCATACACATACCTTTGTTTAAAGATTGCAGGACATGTGAGTACATTGAGGACATTGTGGAATACCTTAAATATTGCCATGTTTGAAACCCTTATAATACTATATTTGTCCGTGAAGTTATTCTTTCTGATTGTCAGCTCTTTCATTGTCTCACCAGGCAAATTGGAGACAACCTGATTGTCCCTGGAGGCGTGAAGACCATAGAGGCCAATGGGAAGATGGTGATCCCTGGAGGCATTGATGTGCACACTCATTTCCAGATGCCCTACAAGGGGATGACCACAGTGGATGACTTCTTCCAGGGCACAAAGGCTGCCCTCGCGGGTGGCACTACCATGATCAGTAAGTCCTCAGGCCTTACACACCCCTGATGCACAGAGTGCATGACCACCCTGCCAACCTCAGTGGTGTCAGTGTTACCTTGTATACTTCTCTCATCTTTCTGATAAGATCTCTGAAAAAGCAGGTGGTTCTGAGGAAGTGGATCGCTCCTGGCAGCTGCATGGAGGACATCCACAAGGCTTGTAGCCAGGAAAGCAGCCAAGAGAGAAACAAAAAGTCACAGAGGATAATAATGGAGGCTTGTGGTCCTTAGGAAATTAGTGGGGCTAATGTAAATTGGTGCTATTTGGTTTGCCCTGTATTTTGACCAATTTGTATCTTGAAGATTAGGCAATCTGTGAGAGTGGTTTGTTCTTAATTTTTTTTTAACTTTTGTTTTGTTTCTGGTAACTTGTAATTCCAGAGAAACGTAAGATGTTGCATGCAGTTGGATTTCTGACCCATTAGCATTCCAGAGCAGTCTTTTCAGTCCTGGAGGAATCTCAATGGATTGAGTCTTAGTCCAACTCTGGCCTCAAGCTTGGTTAGTTAGAGCACTGTTTATTTAACACACACACACAACACACACATACACACACACACACACATTAAGAAAGAGACAAAGAGAGAAAAGCCTGGGCCATATAATCCCTGTCTTGTCTTTCCTTTTGACTGGAGCATTACCAGGATTTAAGCTTCAGGTAGGTGGCTACAAAAGGCCTGGTAAACTGTATGAAGGCCTTGAAAGGTATAGTCCGGGGAAGCCAAAGCTTTTCTCCAGCTGATAGAAGGAAGACAGCTGACTTCTCAACAGCTGCCATTTTGTTCTGTGGCCTCCTGTGTTTGCATTCCCATAGGTGCACTTGAGGTGTCCTTGACAGAAAGAAGCTGAGGAAATCAATGACCTTGGCTGGGCTGGTTGCCATCTGGGATGGGTATAGATTCCTTGAGATGCATGCTATGCTTGGTGTTGTGGGTTGAGCAGGAGAAAGCAGAGATCCAGTGACAAGAAGGGGTCACAGTAGTGTTTGTGTCCTTGGCATATAATTTAAGAATCCCAGATACTCAAAAAGAAGTGAAGCCTTGCAGTCTCACATCACTGATATTTTTCCATCTTGAAGAAGGATTATAATATTTGTTCTCTTTGTTAGCTTAATGTTTTACTAAACTATATGCCATGGATATCTTTTCTCTGATTTATTTTTATCTTACCACCTTCCAAACAGATTCCTAGTGATTGTTTTTGTTTGTTTGTGTTTGTTCCAATACTGAGACTTGAACTCAGAGTGAGGGCATTCTCGTTAGCTTTGTCACTCAAGGCTAGCACGCTGTCACTTGAGTCACACCTCAAGTGGACTTTGCTGCCTAGGCTGGCTGCAAACTGCTAGTCCTCATATCTCAGCCTCCTGAGTTAGGATTATAGGTGTGAGCCATTGGCACCTGGTTATTTAGTCATTGTTTTATGAAGACATCACAGCTTACATATTTAACCAATTTCTCTGTTATTATTGAGTTAGGTATGGAACATGTTTTTGTTTGTTTTTCTACTGGTATAGGAGTTTGAACTAAGGACTCCATACTTGTTTTCTTAACTGGCACTGTACTGCTTGAGCTGGTGAAAACTTGTCTGTCTGTAGTCTGATTTTTGTTGTTGTTGTAGAGCTTGCACTCAAGGCCTGGGCCCTGTTCTTGAGCTCTAGCACCATAGGCTAATGCTCTACCACTTTGAGCCACAGAGTCAATTCCAGTTTTCTGGGGGTTAATTGTAAATAAGAGTCTCATGGACTTTTCTGCCTGGGCTGTCTTGGAACCATGACCCTCAGATCTCAGCCTCCTGAGTAGCTAGGATTACAGGCATGAGCCACCAGTGCCTGGCTAGTGTGACATTTTGCAGGTTATTTGGGAAATGGAGTTTCACAGACTTTATACCCAAGCTGACTTTGAATCACGATCCTCCAGGTTTCAGCCACCTGAGCAGCTAGGTTTATAGACATGAACCGTTAATGTTTTTAATATAAATTTCAAAGTTTTTCTCAGGTAAGTCACCTCAACTCATGTTTTGTCTTAGCTATTTAGAAAGCACTATAGGAGGGTAACTTTTGCTTTATGATTCCTAACTATAGATGTGATTATTTTTTAAATATTATCCTCAGTAACAAGAGACACAATACGTTTAGGCCTTAGAGCAACCCGATTCTTGCCAGAAAGCTCACATGGCACTGAAATCTTTGTCCTGGGTGTCAGATTCAGTTACCTGGTGTCAGCTTTTTCTGAATCATTATGCAGTAGAACTCCAGTCTCCTCTGCCTGGCATAGCTATAAACTGCTTTTTCCTCCTTGGGAAGAGAGACCAACTATTACCATAAGCAGTGACTCAGCCCTACCAGGTCACTGATGGCTGACAACTTCTGTGCACAGACTGTATGCCAGCCATCAGGGACAGCTTTCTATGTACATTCCCTCATGAATCTTGCAGCCAACAGATCACACCCTGCTTGGCACCTGCTTTTAGGAGAGGGAACTGAGGCTTAGAGAAACCAGTGATGTGTCCCAAATCCCACAGCCGAGAGGACATGTAAATCCTCAGTGCCCGTCAGCGACCAGAAACACTTTCTAGGTTTAATTTCCTGCTCAGAACACAGAGAGTGTGCAGCCATAGCCAAGCAAGCAGGAGCAGGTCTGGGTAGGGGAATGAAGCCGTGTCTCAGTCATCCATCTCTGCCTCTGCCCTGCAGTTGATCACGTGGTACCCGAGCCTGAGTCCAGCCTGACCGAAGCCTATGAGAAGTGGCGCGAGTGGGCTGACAGCAAGAGCTGCTGCGACTACGCCTTGCACGTGGACATCACCCACTGGAATGACAGCGTCAAGCAGGAAGTGCAGAGCCTCATCAAGGACAAAGGTGAGCATCTGCCTCCCCCAACCTTGTTTCTCCTTGCCTGTCCACCACACCATCAGCTCCCCTTTCAGCTTCCCCTCCCCCGACCTGTTTTTGTTTCTTTCTTGGTTTTGTTTCTGAGACAGGGTCAAAATGTGGAGCCCACGCTAGTTTCCAACTCATGATCTTCCAAGCCTCAGTCTCCCATGGCTGAGATTGCAAGTGTGAGTCACCACGTCCAGCTTGAATCATTTCCCCTGGCGTATAGTCTGAAACTTGAAGTGTTAGGGGTTCCATTTCATTCCAGGCACTTCATTTATGCAGACTGACTGCCTTCTTACAGGATCCTCAGGAGACAGCAATGGTTAGTCATACTATGCAGATGAGACTCGGAGGGTCAGAATAAGCCCAAGCAGAGTCACTTGGCAGCAGATCTGTCCAACGCTAGTGTATTTTGCTGGTGCACAGTACGGCCCATTTGACAGAGGAAGAAGCTTAGGTTAGGAAAAGTTAACTTTTCATAGGTACAGTGATGTGGCTGGCAACATGAGATTAGAAATGTCTAATTCCTGACTTTCTTACTTCTGAAATCAAACCATTACTGTTTCTTTTCATAACAAAAGGCATCCTTAGCAAAGACTCAGATATTCCCAGGAGCAAAGGTGTATTGGTACCCAGGCCTGCAGATCAGCATGTGAAAATGAGTGACTTTATGGGGTAGAGGCCTCTTGCTAAGAGCATGATTTCTGCCTCATTATCTTCTTAGATTTGCCTGTTCTCTAGCCCTTTCTTTGTTCCAATCACATACTCTCTTAGCCCATACCCCCTCTTTCCTTATGCATGCAATATTTGTACCCTGTGCTCTACACTGTAATGGGCCCTGGGGACTGAGTCTGTTGGGTGTCTCAGGTAAAAGGAAGCTGTCCCAAGAAGAGCAGCAGAATGAATGTCACAGATGAAAAGAGCTGTTATCTAGCAGTCTAGACTAAATGCTTGGGGAATCTGCCCAGCAGTGAGTGCCTGGGCCGCAGGGGAAAGGCTGGTCCCCCGCAGGATGTGTTTGGCTTTCCATACCCCACGAGTCCTGACTGATCATTGCTCACCTGGAATATGAGATAAGATTCCTCTCTTCTGTATCTCCTTTTACTGGGGACATCTCAAATGGGGTGGAAAATTGAATTGCTTTCACAGCCACGTAGAGCCTGGGTCATTCCAGGGATGACAAAGAGGCTTTTGGGAAGAAGTGGGGGGAAACTGCCCTGAGTTGAACCACTCACTCTGGGTAGAAATGGTTTCAAATTATAATGCACTTCTGGCCTGGAACATTGTGGGCTGAGACGGCTCTAATGGTTGGAGACCAAAATTGTCTTCTTTTCCTCAAAATGATTCCATTCCCCGGTCCCACCTATTTATTTTGGGTGAAAATTAAATAGCTCTATTCTCATAAACCCTGATGGTTTAGGTATTTAAGTATAAGCAGAATAATTTTATTTAAATGGAAGAAGCATTCTTTAAACAGCATGTAGAGCTTGGTGCCCTTTTATTACAAAAATCATAAAAAAGATTGCTGGGTTAATATGCCCAAATATGACTTTGGACTAAAGTTAAACTGAACAAATGCTAGAGAATGAGAGGAAAGATAGTTTATTTACTATAATGATGATATATGTAGTCAAAAATACAGATTCAGTGACAAAAAAGATGTCAGAATCTGCTGAGTCTCTGAAACATTTTTTTTTGTCAGTAGTGAGGTTGGGGCTCTTGCTTGATAGGCAGGTGCTCTACTGTGTGAACCACACCCCTAGTGCAGTTATTTCCCTCTCCCATCCCTGGCTACAAGTTACACAGGTCATTTTCCATATAGTGGATACTGAATAACATTTGTTCATCCTTCCTCCATCCCTTACAACACCCCTTAAAAAACAAAAACCCATAGCAAAAACAAACACTACCACCACCAACGACAAGAAGAATGATAACAACAACAACAACAGAAAAAAACAAAAACATGTTTCCCTTTCCTGGAATACAGACACAGTTTATAAAAATCCTACTTTTTTTTTTTTTTGGGTCCGGTCTTGGGGCCTGAACTCTGGGCCTGTGCGCTGTCCCTCAGCTCTTCAGCTCAAGGCTAGCGCTCTACCACTTGAGCCACAGCGCCACTTCCGGCTTTTTTCTTTTTGCTTATGTGGTGCTGAAGAATTGAGCCCAGGGCCTCAGGCATGCATGCAAGGCAAGTGGTCTACCATTGAGCCACCTTCCCAGCCCCTAAAAATCCTACTTTTTGGTCTGGGAATGTGGCTTAGTGGTAGAGCGCTTGCCTAGCATGCCTGAAGCCCTGGGTTTGATTCCTCAGTACCACATAACAGAAAAAACCAGAAGTGATGCTGTGGCTCAAGTGGTAGAGTGCTAGCCTTGAGCAAAAGAAGCTCAGGGTCAGGGCCCAAACCCTGAGTTCAAGCCCCAGGATTGGAAAAAATAATTTTTTTTTTAATTCGTACTTTTAGCTGAGCCCCGATGACACACACCTGTAATCCTTGCATTTCAAGGGGGTGTGATCTGGAGGATAGCAGCAGTTTTATATCAGCCTAGGGAAGAAAATGTCCATGAGACTCTATCCTCAGGGCTGGAGGCATGGCTTAAGTGGTAGAGCACCAGCCAAGCAAGCAAGCCAAGGGAAGTCAAGGTTCTTCAGTTCAAACACTTAGTCCTGCTGAAAGAAAAGAAAGCAAAAAAGAAAGAAAGAAAGAGAGAGAGAAAGAAAGAAAGAGAAAGAGAGAGAGGAAGGAGGGAAAGGAGGGAGGGAGGGAGGGAAGGGAGGAATGGAAAGTAGGAAGGGAAGCTTAGTTTTATTGCCTTCTTTTGCCTTTAAGAGAGTGACCCTGCACAAGTATAGTGTAGAAGAGCAGACAGTCATCAAATAGTGAAATAACCCCAACTGGGAGATGGAAACATGTCAGTCACCTAAGGTTCTAACAGCCCTGCTTTATGATGTCCCTTCATCCAGTGGTCACAACCACTCTATGAAGTGGGGAATCACTATTGTTCCATTTTCCAGCCACGGACATCAATGCCTGGGGAGGGTAAGTATCCCAAGCTCACTGTAGCTTGTGGCAGATCGGGGCGGCGCAGTCCCCAGTGTATCCACACAAACACTGTGCCAGGGTGACCAGGTCTTCTGGGAGGTGAGAAGAGCTCACTGCGTGATAACATCACTTCACTTAGGAACTGTTGATCATGTAGGACATCAATAGGCACAATCCTGTGCCCAGTTAGGGACTTGGAAATTTCTGTTTTTCACTGACAGCCATCCTGCGGGGTAATGAAAGTGATAGCAAAGATGGAGTATGGAGTGGTAATGTTATTTTTCTTCTGTTTCCCTTCCTTTCCTGTCTTGCAGGAGTTAACTCCTTCATGGTGTACATGGCCTATAAGGATCTGTATCAAGTGTCCAACACAGAGGTAACAGTCCATTTGTTGTGGGGTTTGGGATATCTGGATGGGTTTCCTCTTGTGAATGACCTTGGCCCTTGTAACATGAGCCCCTGTGGCTGCTGTGGGAGAATTGCTGGGCCCGACTGCATCCCTGAGCCTTTGCTTTTCACACTGCACCGTTAATGAGGTAGTGGGCAGGGAGCCCATGCAAGGCAGACAAGGAGATAGAGTTTCTGGCCAGCTGCAGCTGGCAGAGGATAAGAGGAAGGTCATACCTGTATCTCCATCTACTGAACAAGTGCCAAATCCCATGTAAGTTTAGTGAGAGAGTAGGGTGCTCTGCCGTTACGTGGGGTGATGGTTCCAGATCGCCTCACACTCTCTCTTTGGATCATGATGACATGTTTTTGTTGAAGATAAATCTCAAGTTAGCAAAGGAATTTAAATTCCCATGCTTCTTGGTTTGGAGGTAAGGGAGACCTGCCTTGAACGGTTCAGAGATATGGGTGTTAGCCTTAGCCAGTCAGTCATGGCGTCCTGGATCACTTGTTGAGATTCTGACGCAGTGTCTTAGATCATGGGAAAAGGTTATATGAAAAATGTATGTCTGAGGCAGAAGCCAGGGGTTGGGCCACTGTACACCATCATCCTGTCTAGGAGATATGCCAAGTTCTTTACACAAACAGAATCTCCTAGAGTTTCTTTGGACCACACTCTCTTTTGGACATGCATCTTTGGGTCTGTATTTCAGCCCTCGTCTCTGATTTCATCTGGTTTATTATTCCACTTGGCTTTGGTATTTAGTCTTTAGGGGAGGTGCCTAAGAGGGACTGTGAAGGTGACAAAGATTCATTTCTATTTCAGCTCTATGAGGTCTTCACCTGCCTGGGAGAACTGGGAGCCATTGCTCAAGTCCATGCTGAGAATGGGGATATCATTGCCCAGGTAGTACCCCTCAGTGTGCTGTCTGCACAGGGCTGGGTCTCTCCCTCACTGCTGTGTCATTCCCTTACTGTCTCTTGAGCTCTTAATATATGCATCACTGTCATGAGTACTTTGTTAAACACTGAATCTCCCCTAAAGAACCCCATGAGTCAGGGGAAGAGGAACATAGGATGCAGTAAAGGGAAAGCTACGAGATCCTATGAAACACAAAGAGGTCTGGCCATCCTGGAAAATCACAAAGAATATCCCAGAAGAGGTGGCTTCTAAATGAGATCTCACAATGGAAGAATGTCCTACGTGACATTTCTGTTCTAAACCAAAACCCTAAGGCAGCATTTCTCAGAAGCCAGAAATCTGATCCAGGGCTGCAGAACTTATAGCCTTAGATAATAAAGACCAAAAGTCTTGTGGGGATTAGACATCCCACTGGTTTCCTAGAAATGGTGTTGAAAATGTGAAGGAAGTGATAAAGTGAGGCCCGAACTGACCCTTTGTAAGCAAGCAGAAATCTCCCAGGATACTTTATGGAATAGATGTTCAGATGTATCTTTGGCAGGATTTTGCTTATCTTAGACACAGTCAGCAAGGAGACTATCAGTAGAGATAGTACAATGATCTCCATCACACCTTCCTTCAAGGAGTGTACCCTGAGCATTTTGTACCAGGCACTATGCTGTTTATGTGGGCCCAGAGGGATGCATATCATATCTCACACATGCCTATGCTGTGCCTTCCATCAGAAGGTACCCAGGACTTGATGACAAGGGTCAAGTGGGGGTGTGGGAACACCATATAGGCTGACCCTCAACTCAGCCTCCTAATAATGAGGATCATTGGTGAGCACTTACTAGTCTGGGATAGACACTATCAAATACTCTAGCATATGTTCTTTGAGTCTTCTTCCAACCCTTTCAAGATGCCAGTATGAAGCCAGATGCCAGTAGCTCATGCCTGTATTTGTAGCTACTCAGGAGGCTGTGATCTAAGGATTGCAATTGAGAGTTAACCTCTAAATAATTACCAAACAAGAAAAAGAAAAACCAGAAATAGGGGCTGGGAAGGTGGCTCCGTGGTAGAGCACTTGCCTTGCATGCCTGAGGCCCTGGGTTCGATTCCTCAGTACCACATAAGCAAAAAGAAAAAAAGCTGGCAGTGGCACTGTGGCTCAAGTGGTAGAGCGCTAGCCTTGAGCTGAAGAGCTGAGGGACAGTGCCCAGGCCCAGAGTTCAGGCCCCACGACCAGATTCCCCCCCCAAAAAAAAACAGAAATAGAGGTGTGGCTCAAATGGTGTAGTGCTAGCCTTGAGTGAAACAGCTAAAGTATAAGCACTACAGCTGTGAGTTCAACTTCCAGTACACACACACACACACACACACACACACACACATACAAATTGATGTCATTATACTTCCCATTTTATAGATGAGAAACATCAAGGTTCAGAGGGATGAGATGTCCAGGGATCAAAGCAAACAATGGGGAGAAGCAGAACTTAGCCCTCAGATGATGTCCCTTGGTGGACACCTTTACCCAAAAGCAGTGTATCTGGAACCCCTTCCTCCTTTAGACTGATCATGCCCCCTAGCAAGGCCTCCCGGACTCCCCATCCATGCAAGACTCCAGCTGTTGTGATTTCAGACTCTGAATATTGTCTGGTGAGTGCAGGAAGTCAGCTAAGTGTATGCCGTTTTCTCTCACTTAAAAACAAGAAGGATACTTAGTCAAACCCCTGTCACACCTTCTTCCATGTCACTTCTCCCACACTCAGACATCATGAAACCTTTGTTCCATGGAGGGCCCAGTGGCCAGCTCCCAGGGGAAGGCACCCTGCTCTTGTTAGAACTGTCATCCCACCCCTCCTCCAAGTGTTCAATCAGCCGCTGCCCTGGAAAGAAAGCTCCCTGTTCCTTATGGACCCAGAGTTTCAGCTCTTAGTGCTTCTTCCCAGATCCTTTCCCCTGTGGCTCCTTAGTCCAGATGCTTCTCTCTTTCCCTTCCACCCCCATTCTTTCTGGCTACCTTGGGAAGATCTGTTCTCAGTCAAGGAAAGGATAAAGGCATGTTTCCATTTGGATGAGTTTCTTGGTGTGTTTATTAAACACAGCTTGAGCTGAAAGATTGTATCACATCATCTAAATGAAGGCAGCTGCTGTACTCTGCACTTTGGACTCAAAAGCAAAAAGAAGACATTTCCTCTGGTTACAAGCCAGGCCAATTTTCATTGAGTGTCCAGCATCTTTCACATTCATTTAAACAACTATGGAACACCTGTGATGGGCCAGCCCTTCAAGAGAAAAGTCAAAAAAGATGTGTGAAGCAAGCCCTGATTGGGCTATGACTCGTAACTGTGACATCATTGTTGCTCTGATGAGTGTCTCAGAATGCCCAGCATAGGTGGTGTCAGTGAGCACTGGCAGATGATCTTACAGCTGTGGGACCCTCTTAGAGCCACAGATGTTCGAAGAAAATGTGTAGTGCATTGGAGTCACCAGGTTTTCCCAAAGAGCTTCTGATTCCCTAGTTCAGTAGTAGAGTTCAGAAAAGTGTATTTGCAAAATGGATTTCTGTCAAATGTGTTTGGAGACCACTGCTTGAGCTAGCTTTGACCTGTGCATTACCCTGGCACAAGCAGACAGGATAGAGGAGCATGTTGTTTAAGACAGAAAATTCTTTAGTCGTAAATGTCAGCCCTTGGAGAGACTGACGCAATGAAGAGTGGACATTCGTCGAGTTTGGAGGAGATTTTATTGAGCTCGTGTTTCATTGCATTGGGGATGGTAAGAATAAAAAATGCAGGTGCTTTGGTTGAAAAACCAGCCTCTCTTTTTTGTGTGTTTTTACTTTCTTCAAGTATGTACCTTTTCACTTTCTTTTTTTTTTTTTTTGTCAGTCATGGGCCCGAACTCTGGGCCTGGGCGCTGTCCCTCAGCTCTTCAGCTCAAGGCTAGTGCTCTACCACTTGAGCCACAGAGCCACTTGTGGCTTTTTCTGCGTATGTGGTGCTGAGGAATTGAACCCAGGGCCTCATGCATGCAAGGCAAACACTCTACCACTGAGCCACCTTCCCAGCCCTGTCCTCCTTTTTTAGAAATCTGAAATATCAAATATCAAACAACAAAATCCCTAAAGAGTCTTCTTTTTCAGGTGGTACGAATACTTTTATGCTTCACATCCTAGTTGTAAAATGAATCAGATTTGTTTCATTCCTCTTCTTTCCTGTGTTCCCAGGTCACTGGACTGGGCTAGCTGGAGCAGAGATTTAACAATTTGTCTTAAGACACGTCAGGGTGAATGCCAGGAAATTTGTAGCTATGATGCTTTAGGCTGTCTGCCAGTGCCAGCTAACCCCTGTGTGTGCTCACTGCCCAGCCTCCTGCTTCTTCTGAAAGTAGTAAAGAAGTCTAAGGAAATTATCAACAAGCACAAGAGGCAGACTGTTCTTCTCCAATAGACTTTGGCCAAACACTAACTCAGGGAATGCTGTTGAGAGGCATTATTTAATTCACCAATTTAATTCAAAAGCTGTATAGGTTAAAAGCCTAAAAATCCAGAGAGACTTATTGAAATGTAGAGTGCTACAAGGTAATCTCTTATTTTTTCTAATTTGGTAGGCCAGAATAGAGCTAGAAATCTGCTTTGCTACTAAAACAGTTCAGGCAGACCAAACTTTGGGGGACCTGGCACTAACTATGAGCTCCCTGGGGTCAGAGGCATATTGCTTTAATTCAAGTGTTTAGCCCAGAGTCTGGTGTGATGTAGACATTCAGAGCATGTTGTGGAGTAGATGGGTTGAAGTACAAGCTAAACAACTGTATTTTCAGAGTTAGCTGGAAGAAATGAAAAATAAATGACCTGATATAACTTTTGATAGGTCATATAGTCATAAAGTGGATGCTCATCACTAAATGGATATTGGAACCAGACATTGTAATCCTGGCTATTCAGGAGGCTGAGATCTGAGGAACACAGTTCGAAACCATCCTGGGCAGAAAAGTTCATGAGACTCATTTATCTCTAAGCAGCAAAAAGCCAGAAGAGGTCATATGGCTCAAGTGATAGAGTACCACAACCTTGTAGGAACAAACTAAGTGAAAGTGTCCTGAGTATAAGCTCAAGTACTGATGCACACTATGCATATGTGCACATATGTGATTGCTCACACACACACATACACATACACAACTCAATACTTGGATGGTGTTTCTTTTAATAAAAGGAAAGCAGCATCTTTTTTCTTCTTCTTTTAGTCAAGATTGTACCCTTCATCACATCACCAAATAGAGAACTAATATATCTACTCAACAAGTAGGCCTTGGCTAAGCTTACTTAAGGAAATTTTCTATTTTGCTTTCTTTCTAGGAGCAATCCCGGATGTTGGAAATGGGAATAACTGGCCCAGAGGGCCATGTGCTGAGTAGACCAGAGGAGGTGAGTTGCAGGGGGAGAGGTGTGTTGTAGAGGGCAAGGGGGAGGTCAGGAGAGCAAAACCCTGATCATGGGAACTGCTGGTTTATTAACATCTTCGGATAGAATCTGCTTTTCAGAATCCTGGCCAACTAGCTATGGCGTGCCACTGACTCAAGTTACTTTTGAAATATGTCTATTTTGGCTCACTTCCCCAAGCCACATGCAAACACCAGGTATGAATAAACACTCCTGAAAGGGGCTGAGAACCTAAGAATGCTAGAGGGCACTGCTGTACCATTTATTTCGAAGATCACTTCTGGTCAGTATTTGCTTAAAGGCCTTTGAGACAATTGAAGAGGAATATAAAGGAGATACTTACTTCTGACCTTCCCAGTCCCTGATCTCTCTAAGGAAAGCATAGGAGGGAAGGGCACTTCACAGATTTTTTTCAGTAGGAGGGACACATTTGTAATTCCTTTCATAATCACTGTGAATCATGGAGACATTCCTCCTCTTTATGTCGTGCTCTGTTTTGAGTCTTACACAATCTTGGGCAAGTAGATAGGTGATAAAATTAGTATTGGTAGGCAAGGTGATGGTCATGGCAAGGGTTTCCAGTTTCGCACATGTACATGAGTAATGATGCATATCTGTGTTTAGCAGCTAATGAAGCAATGAAAGGTGGTTCGGCTGATGCCATGTCCGGGATGTCAGCAACTTAGCCTGCTGGCATCGGGCACAGAGCTGGCAATTGGTGCCCATATGGCTCTCCCAATTGGCTCTGGGAGAGAAGCCAAAGACTGACACTTGTAGTGAAACCCGGCCTTTGTGTCAGCAAAGCGAATCCAGTTTCTATCCATCATTTCAACGTTACAACAAATAGAATAAAAGCTTAGAACTAGAAGAGACTATATCCCATTGTCCATCTTTTCAGAACCTTAAAAAATGAAAATACAACAAGAATAGACAAAAGTATTCCTCTCACAAAGATCTAACACATTGTATATTCATCAGAAGCTCTCTTTTTTTTCTGTGATGTTTTTCCCGCCATTTGATTTAATCTATAAATGCGAGTGGCATTCTGTTTCCTTAATAATACCAGGTCCCCCTGTGCTCTGGTGGCTCACATCTATAATCCTAGTTACTCACAAGGTTGAGATTCTGAGAATTGCAGTTCAAAGCCAGCCTAAGCAGGAAAGTCTGTGAGACTCTTATCTCCACTTAACCACCAGAAAAGTAGAGCAGTGGCTCAAAGTGGTAGAGTGCTAGCCTAAAGCAAAAGAACTCAGAAATAGCACCTAGACCCTGAGTTTAAGCCCCATAGCTGTCTAATAACAACAACAATGACAACAACAACAATAATAATAATACCAGGTCTCTTTCTGTGGCACACTTACTCCTTTCATCATGCTAATTGCACATATGATCTCCCTTACCATTGCTGCCACCCAAGGTAGTGAACACTACTGTATAGGATCAACAATCACTGGAATCTGGGGCTGGAGGCATGGCACAAGGGTAGAGTGTCTGCCTAGCAAGTACAAGGCCTTGAGATCAGATCCCAGCTCTGAAGTTCAGAGACTTTAGACCACTGACCGGCTATGCTTGAAGGATTGACAAATCCTTAAGCAGTGTGAGCAGAGCAGAGCTGTCAGCACTGTTTGTGAAGCTATAAATATGGTCACTGGAGAGATGTGCTGGCAAAACTAGGCTCCTCACAAGCAGCCAGGGGATTTCAGAGCAAAATCTATTTTTGTTCTTTGGTTTGTTTTTTGTTTTCTCAACTTTTCTCTACCCTCATCACCTCAAACCTTCCCCCAGTTCCTATCTCCTTTTTAGTTAAAAGCTTCTGGGCCTGCAAATCTCTACAACCCTGCAAAGTCCTTTGGGGGTAAAAGTGGAGGGTGGTGTAACCTTCTAAAGATAGTCAAAGTGTGGAAAAACCTACTGTGTGGGACAGAATGAGATCCAAGGGGCCAGGACTGAGCTCATGGGGAAGCTGAAGTGGTCAGCAAAGGTGTGAAGGGAAAAGGGGAAGCCACCATCTTCCAGTGAACCAGAGGCTTTTCTTCCCACATATGCTGTTCAGACAGCGGAGTCCAAGGCATAGAGCATCTGCTCCAGGTTCTGCCATCTGGGTGCTTTATGGGGCAGCTGGGTTCACCTGCACCCAGGGGCCTCCAGGCCTGAGTCTACATGGATAAAGTCCTAGGGACACCAGCGGGGCAAATTCCTTGTGTCTGTCAGCTGAGCCATGTCCACTGCAGCAGTGGCTGGCTTGCGTGCTATATCTACCAGACATCTGCAAGTTATTTTGGGTACATTTGGAAGTGTTGGGCTGCACAGGCTTACCAGAAAGTCATATCCATACAGAGAGGAACTGGTGCTGATTGTGTGGAAAAATGCCATTGTCTCTGCTCCAGACTGAATTGGACTAACTCAGGCTGTGGTTAGTAACAGGCTCACACTGGCCAGAGACTGAAACAGACAAGCCAAGAGCCACCCTTCACAGGATATGGCCTTGTCCAAGGAGTGGGCTAACTGCTTGCTTAAGAGGATTAACTCAGCCTGGCGTTGGTGGCTCACGCCTGTAATCCTAGCTACTCAGGAGGCCGAGATCTGAGGATCGCAGTTCAAAGCCAGCCCGGGCAGGAGAGACCTTGAGACTCCTATCTCCAATAAACCACCAGAAAACCCGAAGTGGCGCTGTAGCTCAAGTGGTAGAGTGCTCGCCTTGAGCTGAAGAGCTGAGGGGCAGCGCCCAGGCCCAGAGTTCAAGCCCCACGACCGACAAAAAAAAAAAAAAAAAGAGGATTAACTCATTGAATGCTTACAACTGCCCAAGCTGTCCGATTCTGATTGCTCCCTCCCTTCTTCCCTTTCTCACTTCTTCACTCCCTTCCCCTTCCATTTTCTCTCCCTCCTTCCCTTCTTCTCTTCTCGTTCTCCTTCCTTCCTTTCTCCCTCTCCCTTTCTCTTTCCCTCTCTCTTTTTCTCCCTCCCCATCCACTTTCCCACTCCTCTCTCTCTTTCATGTGCATAAGTGCACAAGGTGCACACACACACACAAACACACACATTTTACATACAAGGAATCAGGAAGATTGTGTAACATACCTTACTTATCAATAACAGAACTTAACCCAACTTATAAGTAACAGAACCAGGACACAGACTCAGTCTAACTGAGGCAGCCTGAGACTCTACAATCCTACTTTTTAATAAAATAAGGGAAATCTCATTGCTTCTTACTCAGTGCAACGGGATCAGTTACATATTTCAAAGCATAAATTCTACACTAGAGTGAGATGAATAGATGTCTAAAAAAAGTAATATTCAGCCAGGCACCAGTGGCTCCTGCCTATAATCCTAACAACTTAGGAAGCTGAGATCTAAAGATCAAGATTTGAAGCCAGCCTGGGCACCAAAGTCCCTAAGATTCTTATCTCCAATGAATTACCAACAAAAGTCAGAAGTAGAGCTATGGCTCAAGTGCTAGAGAGCTAGCCCTGCGCAAAAAAGCTCAAGGACAGCACCCAGGCCCTGATTTCAAGCCCAGGACCAGCACACACACACATACACACACAATAATAGATAGATAGATCAATAAAAAGAGAAAGAAAGAAAGAGAGAGAGAGAGACAGAGAAAGAGACAGAGAGAGAGAGAGACAGAGACAGAGAGACAGAGAGAAGCCTGGGAACAGTTCTTATAAAAATGTCTCCCAGCTGGGCACCAGTGGCTCACGCCTGTAATCCTAGCTACTCAGGAGGCTGAGATCTGAGGATTGTGCTTCATTCAGCCTGGGCAGGAAAAGTTCTTGAGACTCTTATCTCCAATAAGCCACCAAAAAACCAGAAGTGGGGCTGTGGCTCAAGTGGTAGAGTGCTCGCCTTGAGCTGAAGAGCTGAGGGACAGCGCCCAGGCCCAGAGTTCAGGCCCCATGACTGACAAAAATAAAATGTTTCCCAGAATTAACCCATGCCTGACCATGAGCTGTACAGGGCAGGATTTGAGGAGCCATTATGCTTGACTGCTTTTCCTGGACCCAGTGTCACCATGATTTTGGTTCCTATAGAATCTTCCCTGAGCAAGTTGGAGAGCAGAGGCACACAGCCATGGTGAGACCCACAGGATGAGAGTGTAAGGGAACACTCGGCTGACAGCAAGTCAGCATCACAAGTGTGTCAGCCATTGCTCTGACAGCCCTTCACTGGACTTCTCTTATCTCTCTTTTTACCGGAGAGGCCAGCGGCCCTGAGAAGCTGAGTGACCCAGCAATGGTGGGTTTGAAATGGGGTCATGGCCATCTAACTGCATACGCACCAGGTGGATTTTTTTTCACCGTTTGTAGAGGCCAGGAAAGGCAAAGGTGAGGGGTTCGTACTTCTATTCACTCGTGGAAATTTGTTTCTACAGCTGGAAGCCGAGGCTGTGTTCCGAGCCATCACCATCGCCAGCCAAACCAACTGTCCACTCTACATCACAAAAGTCATGAGCAAGAGTGCAGCTGATCTCATCTCTCAAGCCAGGAAAAAAGGTGATTTGTATTCCCAGTCTCCCAGCCCCTGATGAATGGCATGGCCCCTTGGCTATCTCTGGTCATAGAAATAGTACCTATTCAGTTTTATTGCCCTGCTCTTTAGGAAATCTCAGTTCATACCAAAGGCTCTGAGGCTTTTCCCACCATGTGTGTAAGTGTACAGGCTCAGCTCAGGAAGGTGAAGTAGAGTGTATAACATGGCATGGATTCAATCATTTCTTTGGATCTCACGGGTCTCACTTTCTCATTTCAATCTGCACATTAGTTTGCATTATCTGGGTTTTGTAAATAGTCAAGATTATACATAAGTCCAAGGCCAACTCAGGTTGGCTTAAACAAGCAAACCAAAGTAAGTGATTGGTTATGGGTGTCTGTGGCATAGCTAGGTTGAGGGGTTTTATCAGTGGTATCAAGCCAGTGTCATTCTTCTTGCTTTCCTGGCTCTCTTTCCACCCTGACAACTTGCTGTTCCGTGTGAACGTGACAAGAACAGACACCAGAGGCCACCTGCTGTCCTCAGTTCTTGGTGGAAGACTTGATGGATAAATAGAACACCCCTTTCCCCAAGGCTCAAGCTCAAGCCCCCAGGGCTGGGGCCCTGTGCCTAGACTATCGCCTGCCCAGGGCATGGTGTCCTCTGTCTAGAATGAAGAGCAGAATGCAGGGGCAGAGTCACACTGACCTCTCAAGGTTGTCTACCACCATGGCCTTTCTGGCCCAGGGCTCTGTACCTCTGTCTTCTTCCTTCTGCTGCTTTCTTCACTGGTGTTCACACGGGCTTCAGTTACTTGACTTGGGTTGAACTTTCTTCACATTTCAAAGCTCTCTTATCTATTTGTGGGTCTTGTCTTCAATGGCAAATGGACTTGGTTGTGAAACTGAGTTTATAAAGACTGTGGCTGAGAAGCCTGAGACATGGGCCATGTTTGGTTATGGAAGAGGGCGTGCCAGGTTAGTCATATGGCGGCTGCCACTGTGGTCATCTGCTAGTGGAAAAACCACAATGAGGGGGTTCATCTGCCAAACCCTCCTATAGAATCTTGGGTGTGTGAGTGACTCTTTTTCTACAGGAGTGGAATCTTCTGGACTGTCTTTCTAGCTGGAAGATTCTGAATCCCACCTTGCTTTCAGAAAGACTGCCTTTCCCTCCAAATAGTATACCACAACTGTCCTGGCAGAGCTGCTCCACTGGGTGTGAGCCATTAGCAAGACCCAGAGAGCATTCTAGCTATGGCCACCATGCTCATACTGTCATGCTATGCCTTCAGCCAATGGCTGAATCCTACCAGGCCCCATCCTTGGGATGACCTGGGGACCAATAAGGAGGGGCTGCTTCCGTTGTATGCTGGTCTTATTCAAACTTCATGGAGAACTCTTCAGTCCCCTTAGCCCTCTGGCTCTTGATTCCCTGACAAAGAGCTAGTAGAGCTGTGGCGCTGTTATTCTGTCATGGAAAACTGGCTGCCAAGATGGAAGTCAGTCAAGGCCTCATGGATGGTCTTTCTCTGGGAAAAAGCAAGAAACATTCCAAGCAGAAAGACACATTTCACATCTTGACTACATTGTATCTCCCTTTGAGGCTCATTTTACTTTCCGAACCCCTATGTCTTATTCACTGAGACGCATAATAAAATGTAGATCCGTGTACTGTCTTTCCCAGCATCCTTCCTCAATCATCCTCAATTAAACCCTTGAACCAAGTCACTTCTTGCCTTAGGTTGAGAAGCAATGAACGTGATCAAAAAAAGCTCGTGAGAGCTTCTGATCCACAGAAATGGGTTTGACTTTGTGGGACCAAAGCTTATTCTTGAAGCAGCAGAGAAGATCTGGCCATTGCCAGTGGTGTGGTCACATTCTGGGCTTTGAGGTCTTATGGTGGACAAAGCAGGAGGTAAAATCAGTATTTACTTAGCATCTTCCATGTGCCACACCTTTCACCTGTGCAACTCTTCATTTCACAGGCCTGAGAAGCAGACTTTCCCTTGTTTCATGAATTCTAGGATGTATCCTGTTAACCTTTTAGTATTTCTGCAATGAGGACAAACCTATATCCATACTTAATTTTTATTTTATTTTATTCTGCATGAAATTTTGGTTTGTCTCAACATTTGAGGGTCCGTGTTGTATCTTACAACTGAGATTCTTCTTATCTAGAGAATGCCCAATTGTTTACAGTTAGCAGAGAAAAAAGCAGAAGCCTAGAAAAAGAGAGGGAATATGGATTTGCCTGTCTCACTCAAGAGTCTAAGCGTTGCTTTGATCAAATATGGTAGGCTCTGAGCAGTCTATGCTTGATTGCAAACCTAATGCTCTTCCCTACTCTATTCAGGGAATGTGGTCTTTGGCGAACCCATCACTGCCAGCCTGGGAATAGATGGAACCCATTACTGGAGCAAGAACTGGGCTAAAGCAGCTGCATTTGTGACATCCCCACCTCTGAGCCCTGACCCCACCACTCCTGACTACATCAACTCCTTGCTGGCCAGGTTGGTGCAGGAAGCCAAGCACCAGGTGTTTTGTGGAAGTGTCTTGAAGCCAGCTGATGGGGGCTGGAATAGCCCCAGCTCTCAGCTGGACTAGAAGCCACAGTGTGAAATTCTCCTGCAGTCTTGTGTGCAGAAACCTCAATCTTCTCCATCCCGTTTCAAATGATTATACAGCAATAATGTTAGTAGTGGTCAAGGTATTTGGTACTTGTCATGTGCTATGCCAGTCCTCTTGTTCCTTTGCTTCTCATTAGCAATTTTACAAGAGAGGAACTCTTAACCCTATTAATGTCATTTTACAGAGGAAGCAACTGAAGGTCAAAGAGTTATTTGCCTACGTTGAAATCATTGGTCATGATGACATGTAGCTAGATGACATGTAACTAGAGACATGATGACATGTCTCTGGGCATGTGAATCAGGCCATCAGTCGTTTAAGTTCTATTTATTGTGGTACTAAGAGATGATTTAATCTCACCCCCTCACTTTCAGGATGAGGTAACTGAACTCAGAAAGGGAAGAAACATACCCAGCTCATAGTAAGGGTCTGTAGAGGAAGATGTGGAAATGTGGTAGTCTGACTCCAAACTCTCACACAAGACATGAATACTGCCCCCTGATGGACGGCACCCATCAATTCTGCTCACATAGCACTTTCTCCTTTTCCAGTGGGGATCTGCAGCTCTCTGGCAGTGCCCACTGCACCTTTAGCACTGCCCAGAAAGCCATTGGGAAAGACAACTTCACAGCCATTCCTGAGGGCACCAACGGGGTCGAGGAGCGAATGTCTGTCATCTGGGACAAGGCTGTGGTAAGGTGGGGGCAGGGGGTAGGGGACGTGATGGGAGGATAGCCTCGGCTAGATCCAAGCCTCTTGCACCAACCAAGCCAGGGCTCTGCTCCCCAGGTGTTCTGGTGAGGACAATCTAGATGCAGGGGAGATTTCACACCTGCAGTGAGAGGTGCAGAGGCAGGTGACTCAACAGGTTTGGGAACTTGCCTTCTAGTCACCAAGTCAGATATGTAGAACTGGAAGAAGTATTCCAAGGTTAAGAACCAAGAAGCAGTCATAAAACTTTTCCAACCGACTCTATGAATGACTGGATTTAAAATACCAATGAATTAATTCTTTATTTTTTTGTTGTTGTTTGGAGAGTTTTATGACTTCCTTTGAAAATGGAAAGCATGAATATGCTGTCTAATATGTGTTTGCCAAATGAACTGACAGCAGCTTATTTTCTTCACAAAGTAGTTTATGGGCAACAGATTTTTGTGATCTGACAAAAAATGTTTACATATTTACATTTTTTAAAAAAAAGGTAAGCAACAAGTCTGTGCCAAGAGTCATGCTACACCCTAGTGATTCCCTGCATTACAGGTGCAACCCAGGAGCCTGTCCATCAGTGTCTTCTGAGGAAAGAAACAGACACTTAAATGGAGACTCTCCCAAAGATTTTAGTAACCAACTCATGATTTATTCAGTTGATCACTTCCCCATATTCAGGACCAAAGAGAATATATGTAAACTAATGCCCTATTCATCTATGCAGTGTGATTCACTGAATTTCTTTTCTCCCAGTAAGCGCAGGCTTGCTTTTAACTTTAGTCTTTCCTGTGCTCAAGCCATTCGTATTGAGATCACAGAAAGCATATATATATATATATATATATATATATATATATATTTGTCTCTCAAATAGCTTGTCTTTTCTACACTGTTCTGTATTTATCAGTAGGTTTATGTATCCTGACACTATCTGAAATTATTAGCAATAATATTAGGCACTCATGCTTGAGAATTACATAATTGCATAATTACACGCAGTGATGGATCCCATAGGTGGTCCCAGAAAATTATATTACTGAGGGATATGAGAGCTGTCTTCCTTTGTGCTAGCCCGCTTCATGAGCGAGCAAACAATAATGAAATCACTACCGACACTTCTTAGAACACAACCCCATCCTGAGAGAGGTACAGGTGTATCATTCATTAAGTTGCCAACATACTGCTTGCTTCATAAAGAACACTTGGAAACCTCACGCAAGTGCATGTATGAAAACAGAACAAACAAACAGATGAAATGGCCTCTAGCAAGGCACAATGGCTCACAACTTTAATCCCAACTACTTGGGAGACTGAGATGAAGAGGATCATGGTTCAAGGCCAGCATGAGCAAAACCTTCACGAGACTCTATCTCAACTAATGAAAAGCTGGGTATGATGACTCAGCTTTCAGCCCAGCCATGCATGCAGGAAGTATAAACAGGAAGATTACAATCAAGGATTGCCCAGGCAAAAAGACCCTATTTGGAAAAATAATGAATGCAAAGAGGGTGGATGGACATAGCTCAAGTAATAAAGCACATTCCTAGCAAGCAGAAGACTCTACATTTAAACTTCAATCCCAAGTGGAGGGAATTCTCGTAATTCTACTACTCAAGGATGAGCATCTTAACTATTCTGATGCAGATACAGCATATTTCAAGTACACACGTGTATCGAAAGACTGGGATCACAATCACATTTTTTTTTACTGTAAACTCCCTAATTCCTTGTGGGATAATGAATAAATGAGTAAAAATGTGCATGCTCAGAAGAAAACACATACTCCAGGACAGTACCTTTTACCTGAAGCCTTGTGTCTGACTACCCAGCCTGCATGCTCACCTTTATTTATATGGGCCCTCAGTTCTTTCCGGTCTTTGAGCTCATCTTCTTCTGAGCTTGGAAGCCCAGTGTCAATAGATACAGGGAATATAGAGATAGAGTCAGATATAGTTATATGCTTTGTGTATTTCTATAGGCCACAGGGAAAATGGATGAAAACCAGTTTGTGGCTGTGACAAGCACAAATGCTGCCAAGATCTTTAACTTGTATCCTCGTAAGGGCCGGATATCTGTGGGCTCTGACAGTGACCTGGTCATCTGGGATCCAGATGCTGTGAAAATCGTCTCTGCCAAGAACCACCAGTCGGTAAGGCCTGGGCTGCTGATAGGAATTCATGCCCAGAGCTAGGTCAGGAGTGTGTGTACATGGTATGCTATCAGTTAGACTTGTTCAAGTTGCAATCGTAATCCATCCTGGATCTTAGTGGCTTAAAACATAAACTGTATTTCTTGCTCTTGATGTCCAGGATAGGTGGGTCAGCACAATGGCTCAGCTCTTCCTCCTCTGACCAAGATTGGGGGGGGGATCTGTGAGGCTCCCCCAAATCCTGTGTGTTAGCAGTACTAAGGAGGCTTAGACAGGCTTCTTGTTTAGAGACTAAGGAAAGAATTAGTATTGTTGTCATGTGTTTCTGTTCATGTAGATTAAAAACCAAAGCCCAATGCTTATATAACATACTTAATATTTGTTAGTAAAGAGTTGGTATTTGTTTATAAAGCATTTACCTATCAAGCCCTGTGCTCCCGCTAGCTTGATTTATTTGATTGGCTGGTGCTCTGCCACTTGACCCAGGCTTCCAGCACAGTTTTTTGCCAGATATTTTCAAAATGGAATCTAACATCCTCTTCTGCCTTGGCTAGCCTTGAACCATGATCCTCCAAATCTCAGCCTCTTGAAGTAGTTAGGATGACTGAGATGAGCCCACCCAGGCCAGGCCGAGCATTGTGCTTTTAATTCACCAAATCTTATAACAGCCTCCCGCCAATAGACACTGTTATTATTATTCCCATTTTCTAAATGTAAAGGATTAAAGATTTCATGCAGTCAGTCCATGGTGAAGCTAGTTAACCCAAATACCTTAACTCCAAACTTGATAGAGTCTTTTTGCAAAAAATGTCTCTCCTTTACTGAATAAATAAAGGAGATGGGGAGAAATCCTATGTGTCGGTAATCACCATTGGTCAGCCATCCCATCTCATCATGGTATAAAAAGTTGAGCTAGTGATTGCAAAGGGCCACGCTACGCCTCTTTGCACCCACTCCACACCAGACTTCATACACAGCATCTAGAACCTCGCTGGCAGGGAAACCCACTTCCACTTGCAGACTTGCATTTTTCTTTGCCAGAAGTCCATTCTTCAGTTAGCCAGTGGCAGTCTCCTGCTGTCTCCTCCCTTCCGGAAGGCAACAGACTCACCTAGAGCTTTCCCTGGCTTATCTGATCATCGGAGGCAGGGTCCCAAACACAGCAGGAAATAAATGCCTTTGTTCTCCCCTTCCTTTACCCACCGTGGCGTTGTCCTCTGCCCCATCTCTAGGCTGCAGAGTACAACATCTTTGAAGGCATGGAGCTGCGTGGGGCACCCTTGGTGGTCATCTGCCAGGGCAAGATCATGATGGAAGACGGCAATCTGCATGTGACCCAGGGAGCTGGCCGCTTCATCCCCTGCAGCCCCTTCTCTGACTATGTCTATAAGCGCATCAAAGCCAGGAGGAAGGTAAGGAGCAGGTGGGACCCAGAGGTTGGAAAGTGTTTGTTGAAATGAAGGAGTTCTGTTTAAACTAAGAGACCAAGCGACCCAGAGCATCTGTGTTCCCTAAATACGCACACAGATTCACAGTAGCCCCCTGGCCCTGGACAACAAATGAATAAGTGTTCTTGTGATAAAGGGAATAATGAAACATTTTTTTTTTTTTTGCCAGAGATAGTTGGGGGATTTTTGTTTGTTTTTGTTTTCCCTAAGGAATTTCTCCAAATGTTTTTAGTACTCTTATTTTAAATACTGTAAACTTTGACTAATTGCGTATAATGTTAGCATATTTGTATGAAAATAAATGATTCTCTCCGGGCATTGATGAATCACATCTATGATCTTAACTACTCAGGTTGGTTGAGATTTGAGGATCTTAGTTCAAAGCTAGCTTGGGCAGGCGAGTTTGTGAAACTACTATCTTCAATTAACCACCACAAAGCAGAAGTGGAGTTGTGGCTCAAGTGATGGAGTGGTAGCTTTGAGCAAATAAACTAAGGACAGTGCCCATGCTCCACTACTATCATTCATATATATATGATATATATATATATATATATGATATATATTCCTTTTTATAGTTTACTGGTGCCAGGTCTTGAACTCTGGGTCTGGGGGCTGTCCCTGAGCTTTTGTGCTAATGGCTATCACTCCACCACTTGAACTACAAGCTTGACATTTAGCTTTTTGTGGTTAAATGGAGATAAGAGACTAATAGACTTTCCTGCCCTGCCCAAGTTGGCTTTGAACGGTGATCCTCAGTTCTCAGACTCCTGACTAGGTAGGATCACTGGTATGAGCCCTGAATATTCTTTTTTTTTTTTTTTTTGAGTCTGGTCCTGGGGCCTGAACTCTGGGCCTGGGCGCTGCCCCTTAGTTCTTCAGCTCAAGGCTAGTGCTCTACCACTTGAGCACCACTTCTGGCTTTTTTTCTGCTTATGTGGTGCTGAGGAATCGAACCCAGGCCTCATGCATGCAAGGCAAGCGCTCTACCATTGAGCCACCTTCTCAGCCCGAGCCCT